GTCAGGGGACCCTTAAGCTCCATATGCCTCAGTTTCTTCACTTGTAAAATGGAAATTACAATTGCATCTTACTACCCTATGATGGCAGATGAATTACTTGAATGAAAATCCCGAGGAAAATACTAAATTATGAAAGTCGCTTCTTAAAGGAAAACAGTACATCCACGCCATTCTCTTTCCAGGTTATGAACAGAGTTAAACACCCTGGAGTAATTGGAACAATTTAAGTTCATTTGATGTAACTTACACCACAGTAGTCCAGTAATAACAGGTATTGGTTCTGGAGAATACATTGTTTCAACTTTGCCCCTCTCCCTTTTTTATCATTGGTAGAATTCAATTCTAAACCTCCTCAAAGTCTTGATTTTCATAGGAATTATGTGCAATTCTAAATGTAAGTATCTTCAGAACTCTAATTTTTTATTGTAAAGTAATGGGACGGTGTGTGGCTTATGGTACTCTCTCAAGAATTTCACAGCATTTGTTAAAATGGGTTTGAAAAGAAATGGGAGGAGGGGATTATTGGTCTGTGTGTATTACTGAGAGAAACAGTGTTGCATAGAGGTTGAAGCTTAGGCTCTGGAGTTAGAATACTACTGGGTTTGGGTGCCAGCTCTACCAGTTACTAACTTTGTAACTTTGAGCAATTTATTGAACCTTTAGTGTCTGCTTCCGGGAGGGAAAAATGGAGATGTGTACCTTACAGGGTTCTTTGAAAGCTTAAATTGATATATGCTTGTGAAGTGCTTAGAACAGTGCCCTGTACATGGGGCTCAACAAAGTTTGGCTATTATTTTTTTTTAAGATTTTTTAAATTTATTGTTTGGTAGAGAACAAGCACAAGCAGGGGAAGTGGCAGGCAGAGGGAGAAGCAGGCTCCCCGCAGAGCAGGGAGCCTGATGCGGGGCTCGATCCCAGGACCCTGGGATCACGACCTGAGCCGACGGCAGATGCTTAACTGATGGAGCCACCCAGGTGTCCCGGCTATTATTTTTTTAAAATAAGGCAAGGTGGGGTATCACTAAGTGAAAGACAGGAGTTTCCGGCTGAGAGGTGTAAATCCAAAGTGGAAGGAGCTGGTGTTTGAGACCTTCTGTTAATTGTCATGTGTGTCTGGGTTCTGCATGTGGGTCACTGCCTCCACTGATGAATAACGCAGCTCGTGGCCCATCCTAACTAGGAGGCTGAAGGCAGACATTGCCAACTTGTTCCTGCCCCCACTACTTCTGGCAGCACCTCTCCCCATCTCCTCTCCCCCCCGCCCCACCAGGGAACTCCTTGGTTCCAAGGCCAGCCCAGGAATAGGGGCTTTGTGCCCTGGCTTTGTGCCTTGGCTGATTATATTAGTGGGAGTTTCATTCCTCAGATTGTGTGATTTATCATATTTTTAAACATGTGTATAGTATGTGGTAAGTACCACTGTACAGTAGCTATTATAATTTTGTGAAGAACCCTGCAATTTCTTTGCAACAGGTTTCTGATCCACAGGCTCCAGTCTTGATAATTCTGATGCTGTGTAGATGGTAATACCTGGATCTGAGCAGCTTTGGATAGCTTAGCTTCAACATGTTTATCTAGGGACAGAATTCAACCTATCGAGTTACTTGTCGCTGCATGAGAAAACACCCCAAATTCGGTGGCATAAACAACAGTTTCTTCATGCTTGCAGATGCTGTGGGTCAGAAGCTTAGGTCAGGCACAGCAAGGATGGCTTATCTCCATTCTGTGATGTCTGGGGCTTCATCAGGGAGACTATCTGGAGACTTCGTGACTCCTATTCAGAACCTGGGCTGAGATGACTTGGAGGCTTGAGCAGCTGGAGTTGCCAACCAAGCACCTAACTGTGGCTTTTCCATGTGTCTTGGACTTCGTTCAGCGTAGTAGCTGAGAGCATTCCGAGAGAGAGCTGCAGAAGTGGTATGGCCCTTTATGACCTAGCCTCAGAACTTACATAGTGTCAGCTTCTCTGTACTTGACTGGTAGAAGCCATCATAATCCTAACCAGATTCAAGGAGTGGGTGTGGAGAGGGAACATACACCCCACTTGTCAGAGGCAGGGGGGTGTTAAAAAAATCGCCGCAAATTTTTATAAAACTACTGGGCTTATGGCTCTATTTTGGGACACGTTAGGGCTTCTGACTTCTACCTATAGCAAAGCAAGCCATATAGCCTCTGTTGTAACTACTTAACTCTTATCACACTGGAATGAAAGCAGCCATAAACAATTAGGTAAACAAATAACTGTTTCATTGAAACTATGAGCACTGCAATGTGAATTTCCTATAGTTATTACTGTCACAAAATGCCTTTTTAAAAAAGACATTTAAAAATGTAAGAATCAGGGGCACCTGGGTGGCTCAGTTGTTTAAGCATCTGCCTTCTGCTCCAGTCATGATCCCAGGGTCCTAGGATCGAGTCCCACATCGGGCTCCCTGCTCAGCGTTGGAGTCTGCTTCTCTCTCTGCACACCCCCTCCCCCCGCTCATGCTTGTGCCCTCTCTCTCTCTCAAATAGATAAAATCTTTTTTTTAAAAAATGTAAGAATCATTCTTAGCTCATACAAAAATGGACAGTGAGCCAAATTAGAATATCATGATTAACTAGATCTGACTTTTTTTAAGTTAGAATTCTCCACATGTATAAAAGAAATACAGGGTATTTCTCAAATGTTTTTGTGTGTATGTTTATACATATGTGAGAGAAAGACAAATGATTGCAAATTCCATTTTAATTTTGGACGTGAGTTTGTGAAGATGTTATTTAGAATTTTAGTTCTTTCAAACACACCTTACCTTTATACTGTTACAGAACATTTGTTCCCAAGGGCAAGGAAGGGCTATACTCTTGATATTACAGGTGCAAAATTAATGATATTTACTACTTCAGAACCTAGAGAGAAAAGTTAGAACTTGCTCTTCTTGATGGAGTTTCCAGATACATGTTGTTGTTGTTGTTGTTGTTGTTTTTAATAAGTGTTTCAAGTTTTTAAAGAGGTTGTTGATCCTAGACCAAAAGATAAGGTTGAGGACTCTGGGGTGAGGGTTTCTTTTTCATCTTTATTAGTTCATTAAATATTTTTAATCTGCCTGCAATGCCAGGCAGGTGTTGAAGATCTAGAGATGAACAAAAACATATGTAGTACCTGCCCTTACAGGACATCCAGTCGAGTGGGGTAACCAGACATTAAACAGATAACAGCATTGAAGTGTAGTGTGTGTTATGGGGAGGGAATGCAGGATACTACGAGAATATAGGTTTTTAAGCTGGACTCTGTCTCTCATCCTCTACTAATCCATTGAATGTAAGAGTCCAGGAAAAAAAGGATTGTTACATTAGTGCAAACTTCTGTTTTAAAAAAACAGCCTATTTATTGAGCACATATTTATTTAGCATTCTGGCCTCCACCTACCAGATGTCAGTAGCACTTTTTACCACATTCTAACAACCAAAATTGTCTCCAAAATCTGCCAGATGTCTGCTGGTGGGGGTGGGGGTTGTGGCAAAATCACCAGTGGTTTAAATTAAACTGTGTCTATACATTTTATCGTGAAGATCTCAGAAAAACGTAAAATTTTTTAAAATAATAAATTCGAGCTCAGAGATTAGAATCGCAGGTGGATTTGTTAATTTAAGGACACACAGGGGCATCTGGGTGGCTCAGTTGGTTAGGTGTCTGCCTTTGGCTCGGGTCATGATCTCAGGGTCCTGGGATCGAGGCCTGCATCAGGCTCTCTGCTCAGCAGGAGTCTCTCTCTCTCTCTCTCTCAAATAAACAAATAAAACCTTTAAAAAAAAAAATAAAGGGCACACAGTTCCTCCTCTGAAAATGCTAAAACAGCTTTGGACGATGCTTTATCAAATGAAATGTTACTTTGATACACTTGCTATGTCTGGAAATTTTTCTAAACTTTATAGTTTGTGCATTGTTTAGCAAGGCTGAGAACCTCCGTTATTTAAGTGAAACTCTGAAAGCTCCCAAACATCAATGGAACAGAATCAGGGTTTGGAATTGGCTTGAAAATAACAAATGAAGATATCCTGCTTTGGCTTCATGTCCTCAGCCTGTAAGCTAGTGGATCGTGTGAGTTGCATGACCCAAAGGAGATGATTAGTTCTCCTCTAGTGTGCTGATAATGAATAGCTCTACAAAACCAATTAGCTATAATTCTATCAGTCATTTCATTTGGGTAACATTTTGTTTAAGGGTAAGAAAAACAACACTGTTTTCCTTGGAGATCTCTAATTAAGCTGTGATATTTGATGGCAACAATGAGGAAAAAGCAGTATGCTTATTCATTTGCTTTTGTTATTCCCCCGTGAAACTAAATTATGATGAAGTGTTCTGTTCACAGCAGTTAAGAAAGACATTTGTCCATCTTAAAGGTGTAACAGAGTAAACATGAATATATTTTTAACTGTATATTTTGTTTTATGTGAATGTCTACGTTATACAACTCCAGAGATTTGCCATTCACGTGGAGGACTGTGAATGGTGCCCCCTGGAGTTGTGTAGCAGAAGATACTGTATGTCCTTTCCCTTCTTCACATATTTTTCTCTTGAAAATCTGTGTGAATCCAGAACCATGAATAGCGGGTTGTTTTCTTACAATCACTGTTGTTGCTGTATAAGTCCTAATGCTGTCATGCTGACAATAATATCAGTAGACTTTGTTTTCCTTTATCTAGCAAGGCATTTTATGGATCAGTATTGTTCTATATGAGTTCATACACATGAGAAGTTCTTAGTGTATCGTTAGCTATTTTAAGACAGCAGATACTGTTTTACTGTCGTCTGACTATCCTTCTGGGACTTCTGGACATTTTGCAGTTTTTATCTCAATTTACATGGTAGAATGAGACTTGGGTATATATTGTTGGTTTTACCTGAAGTATAATACACGCAGCCTGTAATATAAATTAATGAGCTTATTAGAAAAAAACACTGTGGGTTATTGTGGTGGGCTTTTGATTCATTTTGCTTACTGTTTGTCTCACAGCTAGCCAAAAAAATCCGAGAGAAGTTCAACCGTTACCTGGATGTGGTCAACCGGAACAAGCAAGTTGTAGAAGCCTCCTATACGGCTCACCTCACCTCTCCTCTCACTGCAATTCAAGACTGCTGCACTATCCCACCTTCCATGATGGAGTAAGACTTTAAAAATATTTTTGTCTTGTTGAAACCCAGAATTGAATTGCTTTCCATTCATATTCAAATGCCTGTGCATGTTTATTGCAAAGTGTATAGTATTTCAATCTTAAATAAGCTCTTTGTCTTTACATGGACAAGTAATTTTTAAAGAAGTGGGACTCAACGTTCTATGTCCCGGAAATTCCTAGGTCCTTCCTGCTCACCTTTTTGCCATGTTGGAATTCAGGTTCAGAAGTATCAAATATTAGCTGAGTACAAAGTTGAATTAAGCTAAGAAAATTGCAAACATTTTGTCAGGTGTCAACTAGTGAGTCATGAATAAAACAGCCTCACTGATTCTAGCAATTTGCCTAATTTAAGGGAGTGGTTTTTGTCTTTGAAAAGAGTAGCAAAAATTCCCCACTTCATACTTTGGGACTTTTAAAGATAGCATCTACACTAATGGGAAATATGGCTTTGGATAATATTGCAGCAGAATTAGTATCTGTACGGTTACGGATATTTTTATTTATTAGCCTAGTGATAGTTATATCTAGAGGGGTGTAGAGTCATGTGATGCCGGAAATTGTAGTGGAAAGAACACTTACCTAGAGGTACAAAGAACTGAATTTTTACTTAGTCTTTAACTAGCTGTGTGACCTTAATTATGTGCAGTTTTATATCGGTGGATAATAATCTTTATTAGACCAATTTTCTAGGGCTATTGTGAGGGATTAAAAGCTGTTAACATACTTTAAAAATTGTAAATGTTATCATAATGAGTATGTATTACTCCCCTTTTTGTACAATAAGTGCTCTTAAAGGCATGGAAAGGATAGATACAAGATAGTTTTTGGTGGTTAAATGTTTTGCTTCCAGAAGCAAATTTTTTTTTTTTTTTTTTTTACTTACTATAGTTTCTTGGTGGGCTATGTAGATAGCAGGGCATCCTTAAGTCATTTTATTCTCTATGTGACATGAAGATGACTTTTTTTCCCTGGCTTACTCTGCAGCCTAAACAAGCTCCTACTAGTTGATTAGTAAACTAAGTGGGAAAATGTATACAATGTAGAATGAGCCTGTCTGGATAGGAATCCTCCCTAACACTCAGATGGTCTTGGATATTTGATGTCTTAGCCACTCTGTCTTCATCTCTAGACTGGGAACGATGATGAATACTTCACAGAGTGTTGTGAGCACTCAATGAGACCAAATGTGAAAAATACTTTGTAATTATCTGAACAAATGTTAACCCTTGTATATACATACACACACACACACACTTCCATAGCATAGTGAACATCTCATTTTTTACTAGGTGTAATCAAAGAAGATTTTTTTTGTAGTTGGGGCATCAGTAATTGAATATTTTTGACAACTTATTTCTTATCTAAAAAGACAACGAGGGCCCAGCTGGGTTTTGAACCAAAGAAAAAATCGTTTTCAGAACAAGAAGAGCTAGTATATAGTAAGAGAGAAATCCTTAAAGCTAGAATTATGCTTAAAACAGTGGTTCTCGACCCGGGAGTGATTTCCATCCCTTACCTTATCCCCCTTTCCCCTTGGACGTTTGGCAATGTCACAATTGGAAGGTGGGGAACAGTTGTTCCTGGCATCTAATGAGGAGAGGGCAGGGATGCTGCTCATGTCCTGGAATGCACAGGACAGACCCCCCCCCCCGCCCCAAACGAAGAATTATCTGGTTCACAATGTCAGTAGTGCAGAGGGTGAAAAACCCTGCCTCAAAAGATAGGAGGTTTTCATAAATTCCTAAGTGGAACTGTTGCTCTAGTCGAAACAACAAGCTTGAATTGACTGGTCTCTACTTGGAAATCTATCCTGTATGTGTTCATCCCATTACTGGTCCACCTTGTGAATTTCTATTAATGTTTCAAGAAGTAACTCAACAATTTGCCTCTCTCCATAGCTTCCTAATTCCTCTTTTCTCTCTCTCTCTCTCCTTATTTCCCTTTGCCCCTGGAGGGATTCACTTGCTCCCTCATCTCTGTTCCCATAGTAAGTTTCAAACACCTCTATTACAGTGTAGAACGTAATGTATCATGGGTTGTTGGTGGTGATTCTGCCTCCCCTACTGTTCTGGGCAGGGATTACACCTCATGCATTTTTTACCCCAGCACCTGGCAATTGTATTTAATTACTACTTGTCAAAATCCGAGTTGAGTAAGGGGCTGTCTAGTCTCAACAAATTAAAACTTTGGGGGTGGAGGGCAAATACTGAACATAATTAATAGCACAAAATGTGACACAGAGAGGTACTGTGGTTCCTCAATGCAGAGAAATGTACCAGGTGGATGGCATCACAAAAGATTCTGTGAACTTTAGAAATGTGCATGTTATTTGATCGGCTCATCTGGGGGAATGTCACAAGAAAATAATAAGATATGTTTATAAAGAGAAGCTTGTAAAGAAAGTCATGGGAGTACCATTTAGAGTAGAAAATGTTGTCAATACCTTAAATTTCTAATAATAGGGGATTAGTCAAGGAGATTGTTACATCCACAAACATGAGATGGTAAAAGAGTATTTGCTGACTGGTGAAAATGGCCATGCATACATACATACATGCACACATTAAAAGTTTGGGAGGACTATCAAAATGTTTTGGGGTAAAGACGGTGATTTCCATTTTGAATATGCTAAGATATAAGGGTTGAGGTCTGAGATGCAGGCCATGCAGATGTTTGGCAAAATCCAGTGGTCCACCTTTTGGTGAAAGCAATAAAACAAAGTGTAGTGTCTGCCCTTCAGGAATTTCTCATTTAGTTTAGTTTACCATCCCAGGGACTTCTGTTCTCCTAGGAGGATACACGCTGAGTAAGCAGGTTAATAGGAGGCCCTTCCCTCCTTCAGAGGTTGGTATTGAATGTTGCATAGGGACTCTGGAGAGATGCAGTGCAATCTTATCTCCTCACTAGGAGTCATTGACAGAACTGGCTTCCATTTGGGGTGAAGCTTGTAAAACCAGGGCAGTTCAGACAATGAAGCTGGGTAATCAGAAGATTTATAGAGGAGTGAAAAACAGGTTCCCTCTGGTGGCATATTAAAGAGATAACTGATAGAAGCTGTTCACAGAGGGGAGTGGCAAGGGATGACTGTCCTTCTCTTAGGGTCTTCCTGGTTCTGACTGAGCTCACTTACCCAGGGACACATGTTTAGGAGTTTTTGGAGTAACTCCGAGCTGATGCTTTTCTAGCAATTGGCTGAACACACACACTATCTAAAATGATGAGACTTTCTCTTTTTTTTTAAGATTTTTAAAAATTTATTTGAAAGCGAGAATGAGAGAGAGAGAGAGAGAGAGCAAGCACATGAGACTGGGGAGGGTCAGAGGGAGAAGAAGTTTCCCCGCTGAGCAGGGAGCCCGATGCGGGACTTCAGGATCATGACCTGAGCCGAAGGCAGTTGCTCAACCAACTGAGCCACCCAGGTGCCCTCACTTTTTTTTTTTTTTTTTTAAGATTTTATGTATTTCTTTGACAGAAAGCACACAAGCATGGGGGAGCGGCAGGGAGAGGGAGAGGCAGGCTCCCCATTGAGCAGGGAGCCCGATGGGGGGCTCAATCCCAGGACCCTGGGATCATGACCTGAGCTGAAGCCAGATGCTTAACCGACTGAGCCACCCAAGCGCCTCTCTCTCTCACCTTCTTAATGAAGATGCAAAAATGGAAAGAGTTAATAGTAAGTTTTTGGGGTGAGCCAGGATGGGAATCCTTCGCTGCCTTTATTCTAGTCCCTCATACAATGCTTTTCTCAACACTTGCTGTTTTGGTATCTTACTGAACACATTTTCAGTATATATATATTCCATTCCCTCCAAAAATGTCTACATTTTGAATCTCAGGGAGTTCATGTTGGAGTTAAGCACAGAAAGGAAGAACTCCCAGGCTTGGGAAGCAATCTGAGGACATAACAATTTTTTTTTTTTTAACAGTAGGCAGATTTGGTTTTGAATCTAGCCTCCTTCATAAGTTGACCTTGGGGAGTCACTTAATTCTGAGCCTCAATCTCATCAGTGAGCTGAGAATAAGGATAATACATACCTCACAGGGTCACTGCAGGGAGCTGTCTAGGTTGTAACTTCTTTATTTGTTAAGTATGGATATTATCCTCTAGGTCAAGAGTTACAGTTTTTTTCTCTGCTTAAAAAGTGAACTCACTTAAATGAAAATATTAAGTGAATGTGACCAAAATCCTGAAGGTGATAGATAGGGTAATGATGAAAGTTCATGAAAAATGGGCTCAAGAGCATTGCTAAAGTCCTTAAAAATTGTGAGATTTTACAGTTCTGTAAAGCAGACTCTTGGCGCCCATGTCATATATCTGGCTACATGCAAATGTATTCATACTGCCATTATAAGAAATATAAGCAATTGAGATAAGAGACCTGCAGTCTTAGATCTGGATCTTGTCCGTTCTTAAACATCTGGGCTCTGTAAACATGTTTTGACACCTAGCACTGGCCCAGTGGCGCTCAAGCTGTTTGTTACTAACATTTTAAGTGCCTGCCTGTGGCCTGTTTGACCTGGCTTCTTCTCCAAAGGCATCAAAGATGAGTTAGTACTAGGACAATATTTTTACAACTAATTTTAACCAATAGCCAATATTCAATTTTTGTTTCAAGCCTAGAATTTCATTGTTATTGATTTATAATCCATTTATTTTTCTCACAAAGGCTTGATAATGCTTGTTTTAATAAAATGCCCAGTTCAGAAGAGAGAAGGGCTTTAAAATGTCCTATTAGAGATTCTGAAGGTTTATACCATGATGACAGCAGAGAGAACCTGCAAAGCAGCAGAGAATTGATTTTTCAGATGATTTTGATACTTTCCTTCTCAGACCACTCAACTCTTTCCTACTCAGGAGTCCTACAAGTTAATTATTTTGTACAAGGCCCTGTGTGAAGATTAGGTGCTTTGTCAATGTTTGCTGAAGGAATGACCTCCTCTAAAATGGAAAAAAAATTAGATGATGGCTTAATCTAAGACAAACTCATTTTC